ATAATAATAATAATCATAATGATGATAATAATAATAATAATGATGATGATGATAATAATAATAATGATGATGGTGATAATAATAATAATAATAATGATGATAATAATAATAATAATAATGATGATGATAATAACAATAATAATAATTATGATGATGATAATAATAATAATAATAATGATGATGATAATAATAATAATAATAATAATGATGATGATAATAATAATAATAATAATGATGATGAGTATCAGTATCAGTATCAGTATCAGTATTTGTATCAAGATGATCCCGGTTCCCCCTGCAAAAATTCACGAGTCAAAAAGTCAAGAAGGTGATTAAAAGAACCTTTTAAATGTTCGATTGTGAAATCAAAGGAAGATAATATAGCTTGCCATCAGGCAAATATCTGTTTTGATACAAGATTTTGAACATCTTTGACAAGAACATCACGGGCTGCTTTGCAGTTTGTTCTTATTAAAAATGTTTGATTAAGGATATCACTTTGGAATTTAGTTACGCAATGGACAATTGCCAATATTTTCTTTTTGACTGTAGAATAGTTTTGTTGTGTACTATTCCAAGCCTTTGAAGTATAACGAAACAAGTTGTTCATGATTATCTATTTTTTGTTTAAGTAGGCCTCCCAATCCTAACTCTGAGGCATCACATTCTATTATTTTGAATGCATTGGGATTTGACAAAGTCAAACAAGGTAATTCTTTAGCCTTTGGACTGCTTTGGTGTGTTCTTCAGTCCACTTTCGGGGGTTTTTCTTTAATCTATCATATAAAGGTTTAGCTTCAATTGTTAAATCTTTATAAAAATCAGCGATGTAATTTAAACATCCTAAAAATCGCTGTAATTCATTTTTATTAAGTATTACATCAGGAAATTTATCAGCAAATTGAATTGCTCTTTCAATTGGGACAATGGTTCCTTGATGTATATTATGACCTAGAAATTTGATTTTGGTCTGGTGTAAATTTATTTTCTTAGCAGATACAACCAAACCTGCATGCTTTACAACATTTAAGAACGTATTGATATGCTTGAAGTGTTGCTGGATATCTTCTGAAAAGATCAATACATCATCAATATAAACTATTATGAATTTAAAGTAGTGATTAAAAACATCATTCATTATCTTTTGAAATTTGGACGGAGCATTCTTGAGTCCAAAAGGCATAACGTTCCATTCATATTGACCAAAAGGTACATTAAAAGCTGTTTTGTATCTGCCGATATCCAAATTTCATATCAAATTTTGAAAATATACATGCATTTATTAATCTGTCTAATAAATCTTTTTTATTAGGTATTAGATATCGAATCCATTTAAGGACTTTATTTAATGGTTTATAATTAATTACAAGTGTTGGGACTCCCCGTTCCTTTTCAGCATTATTTTCCACATAAAATGCAGAACAACTCCAAGGGGACGAACTTTTTCGTATTAATCCCTTTTTGAGTAATTCATTTATTTCTTTTTTACATATTTCTAAGAGCCTTGTATTCATATGAATGGGTCTGGCTTTAGTAGGGATTTTAGCTTGATCAAAACTATCTTTATATGGGAGACTTATTATATGTTTCTTCCTGTCCCAAAAAGCCATTAGGTAAGTCATTACATATTTCTTTTTCTATATGATTTCGAATGCTTTCGATCTAATTCTTATTTTCTAGTAATAATAATTGTTCTTCAATTATTTTATATCTTATCTCTGTTTTGAGATAACATAAAAATTTTTCTTTATTTTTTATGTTTTGTTTGACATTATTTATTTATTTTATTTTAGGTTTATCTATAAATTCAAATTTAACTTTATAACCGTCTATATTCGATTCTATTCTAGAGCTATCTATGGTTATAGGATAAAGTAAACTTAGAAAAGGTGTTCCAAGGATAACTGATTGACTTAATCCTTTAACCATTATAAAAGGTATTTCAAGACAATTTCTATTGTTGCAAACAACAGCATTGGACAGTTTATAATGATCAATCTACTTCCATCTGCTGTATTAATATTTGTGTTGTTTTACTAAAATATTTTGTAGGTACTAGTCCTTTATTAATGCAGTTTAAGTCTCCCCCGGAGTTAATCAATGCTAGGGATTGAAAACTATATGCATTTTTTACAATAATTTTGACTAAAGTAAAGCACTTTTGAGTGATTACTCTATTTATTAGATTGACATAATTATTATCTTCTATTGTTTCTTTAGTATTTGATGATTCAGGTTCTATAATATTTTTGCCTTTTAATAGTTTATCAAATTCCAATTCATCATTATCAGATAGGTTTTTTGAGAATTCTGTGTGTAATTCTAGAATTCTAATTCTATTTTTTAGCTGTTGAACTTCTGATTTTACTGCATTGATTTCTTGCTTTAATTATGAAATAGTAGGTTCTCTTTGAACAACTTCCCTTTTACTAATTCTTTTCAATATTTCTGAGAAGCTGTAGTCTTCAGATGGTTTTACTAGTGCAATAGGCTTATTTTTTTATTTTGCTATTGTTATATACTGAGATATTTTATCTATTATATCTAATATTAAATTTTCTTCATTGGTAAGAGTATTGCAAAAACAATGTTATTCTTCTGAATCTGAATTATCTAAATCTGAACTAGTCCATATTAAACTTTCATTCTCTATTTTTTCTAAAAATTGAGATTATGAGCTTGATGATGAATTTTCTGTGCTAGATTCTTTATTTATTAAGATAATATCATATATTTTGGATTTTAAATCTTCGTCTAAAATAAGAGCATCTATTTTTCTTTTTACTTCACAATTATTTTTATAATGACCTATTTTACCACACTTATAACAGATTGTCAATTTCTTTTGCCCTTTTTTATATTTATAAATTTTTTTGGCAAAGTTTTATGTTTTATTTTTCTTGAATTTCTTTTGTTTTTCTGGGTTATATCTTCTATCTATTTTTCTCTTATTTTTATATATTTTATTTGGAGAAGTATTTATACTATATCCGAACTGCTCACAATAATAATAATAATGATAATGATAATGATAATGATAATGATAATGATAATGATAATGATAATGATAATAATAATAATCATAATAATAATAATGATCAGCAACCTTTAATGGATAATTTTATTAGGAACCTATCTAATAAGATATTAAACCCAACTAGTAGTACTCTAAGGATTAAAAATAAAGAAGAAATTATGATTGATAATATAGAAAACCAAATGCAAAATTGGAATATGACGAAAATCCTAGTTACTGATGTCTACAGAAAAGGCGCATTCGAATTAAAATGTGGATATTCTGTAAAAACAGTAGAATAGAGTTTATCTGTTCATAGCGAATAAGAAAATTTCCAATTGTTATCTGATAAAATAATTCAATCTCATTTGAAAAAAGAATATAAATACTTACACATAGGTTTAATACAAATTGCAGTTAAACCACTGACCAGATTAGGACTTAACAATTCTATACTATTATGTTTAAGAGATACTAGACATAATCAATTTAATGATTCATTATTAGGAATTGTAGAATCTAGTCTTTGTAGCGGACCAGTGTATTTCAATTGTTTTCCTAACTATTCAGTTTCACTTAGTGATCCTAATATTCTTAAAGTTTTAACACTCAATTTAAAAACTCCGGGATTTGATATGAACCTAAGATTACAAAATATAGCTTTAATATACAGAATTTGCTATAAAGTTATGAATACTTTACACCCTAATGTAGTACAGATTGATACAAAAGGAAAAACAATATTTTTTCAAACAAACATTGAAAAATCCAACACTATCATACCTCAAACGATAAATTGGTCCCAAATTATACTACCTAAAAGGTGGTCTATCCAAAACGAAAATCAGAAATATAAAACGCCTATTAATAAAAATCCAGAACAAATTATAGAATTTCCAGATGGAAGTGTAGAATTACAATTCAATACCAATAGAATAAAAAAATCCAATGACACTGAAAGCAGTATTACAAAATCACACACTAAAATAATACCTGCTAGAAAATCTACTTCT